GAATAACAGCATTCTTTGCAAAAACATCCAATTAGGGGCTTTTTAACTTTCTTATGTGATTTTTAAAGAATGAATTTTGAGAAATTAACTAGGAATCAATAATAGCATACAAATAGTTTTATGATCCTTACATATTATCCAGGTCTTTCTTGAATAATCTTTTGAGAGGCTTATAACAGATGTCTCGCTTACGAAATTTGTTATTTATTCTTGAAAGATTCTTCAAATGTTTTCTAGATATTGTTTACAGCTTGCCCAGACATACTTTAAAAAACCTTTCGAGATTCTTATGGCTCCGTTTTAAGGTTGTTATCTGGATAATATTTACAGATTCATGAATGACTATCCCCTAGAAAGGATGCGGCTTGGTGTAGTGGGTTAAATGCTTGGTTACGACCAAGATGGTTCTTGGTTCGAATCAAGACCTTCAAAAATGTTTCACCTCTTGCCCTCTGCCTCTTCTAGGAGATTGTACCGCATTTTCTAGGAGGACCGCAGCTTGGTTTGTCGGGGACCTTTGTATTAGAGTTTATTAGAAGCTCGGCTACATCCATTAGCAATCCACTAATTCTAGGTTTGAATTTGGGTTACGCACTCGAATAAAACCCCGTCCACATAAAAATATAAGCGAAAATAAAAAGTTAATATTAATTAATAAACAAACAAGAGACATAGCGAGTCTTTATCGAAGGTGGAATTTTATTTCAAGAAAGCTAAATACCTCAAAAACAAAAAAAAACATGGTCACAATTTTTTTATTTTTTTTATTTTATTTATTATCCCTCTCTTGTTCTGGGTCCTCAACATAATGAATAGTCAGAATATAGGACGTGTGGAGCATTGTTTGCAACAGAATGAACATCGTCCGAAATAAAAACTATAAAACAAGCTTTTATTATTGCCATAGCAAATTTTTCTATTAAAAAGCATCAGAAAATGTGACTTTCTGAGCCTTTAAGATAGATGGGCATAGGAACACTACGTCTGTAGAACGGTTTTTTTAAAATTTTAATAAAACTAAAATTGCACTTTTTGTGAGTACCTTAACTTCACTTTGAGAAGCCAAGCTACCCACAATTATTTGACAAAGTTGGTATTATCAACTATAGTGTAAAAAAAATTTCGACAAATGACGAGAAGGTCTTAATTTTTACAGATGAGAATTTCATTTAGAAATTACACACCTAACTTTTTAAATTACCACCCCATCTTCATTTGCAGATTATGAAACGAAAAACGCGCATTCATCCGCTCTGTAAATTACTGTGATGAAAACCGACGATATCAAACACATCGGAAATTAAAACTTATTACAAACGAAATCCAACCTTCCAAATTTTTAATATCACATTATTACAAATTGCTAAATAAATTTAGCACTGCCTACCTAACGAATGCCAGCTTAGAATTTCAAACTTGACACAATGCAGACATTTTTCTTTGTTATATTAAAAAGGGCTATGACGAAATTGAAGTAAACCAAGTAATCTAAGTGATTTATATTCATTTCAAATCCAAAATAAGATTATCCGGATGACGTGTTTATCCACTGGAAATGACGTTTTCCTCTTTCTTTCTTTTATAACTTGTAAAAATTGTGCTTTCAAAGTAACTTGATTCCGTTGGTGTAGTGTACACTTGCAGTTTAATAGTTCTACTTCAGACGGACACTTTTTCATGCATTCTTAAGGGCTTAATGATTAAATAGTTTTTTCATGATGAGCATTCATTTGCTGACTGAACAAATTCAGTAGGTACTTCAGTTGCATATTTTGAGAATAAAGCGTCAAAGAAAATGATTGCCTGACCTTTTTCAGAATGAAATCGGAATGGAATTTCAAACAAAAAAAGTTCAATCTACTACATATCGCTTCATGTCATGTGAATATTTAATCACATTCAACAGAATCCATGTATAAAGTAAATGTAGGGTTGTTTGTTTGTGCTAAACAGGAAACTTTTCACAAGCGCCGAAGGTGCGCAAAGTTTCTTAGTGGAAATCGTGAGGGAATAAACAGAAGTTAAGCGTTGAAATATTACGTAGGAAAAAATCAAGTAAGCACTCTTAAAACTTTTCTTTGTTGTACTACTTAATGTGATTTAACCGTCTATCTAATGCAATTATTTTTGCTGCATAAATACGTCTTTTGTTAGCATTGAGCATCCTTTTATAAATTAAACCTAAAGTTTTTTTGTTTTATCATAAAGTTTCATGTACATAATTCATGTGTTTTTTGTAAGTAATGCCCCTTTTACTGTTGCGTTTCTGGGGTTAAGGTGTAGAAATAATTAATTTAAATTACGGTTTAGTAACAAATTATTTGTTTAATTATGTGAGTTGTTTTAGCACGTTCGTTTACGATATGTTAGTTTCGACCTTTGCTAATGGAATAGAAAGTTTTTTTTGCTTTGTTTTAGTAGAAACTTGAGAAACGGTTTAAGTTTCCTTTCAGAAATCAATGGGATAGTAAGAATTTTCGTAACGACTACAATTTTTGAGAAATACCTCAGCGTGTTAATTTTTTTATGGGAACAGTAGTTCATTTCGCTATTAGGTATTAAGGAAAAGCATACTCATTTTCAATTTACTTGTGCTGACGAAAATTGTATCCACCCTACTTATTTATACTGAAAATGTAAACAGTTTTTTCTTATAAGTTTATTTAAGCGATATTGTATCTCCAAACGCTGTACACGGCTACTTAGCCTGCTGTCGTCGTTCTTTTGTGCGGCACGGTCCTAAGATTTGCACTAAGAAATTATTTCTATAAATCGATTACGGTCGTGCGGTAAATTCTAAATGTATTTTATGTTGCACCTAACTTGTGTAAACGTAACGCAATTTTTTTTACTTTACGAGATCTTTACAACTTACAAGATCTATTTCACTAACCACCAATCCTCTTGGGATTTTATCTGCTTGGGGGTTGAGGTCGTTACCTAGCTCGAATTTAGTCATTATGTGTAGGAAATGATTTCAGGTGTTCACTAATATCGCCCTTTCAAACAATAATACAGATATGGGTCTGTGACAATAGTCATTTTTGTCTGACGATATTGTTCATAATTTACGTCATTTGGTGGCGCAAAATTTATTTGGGCGAAATGAGAAAACGGGGTTTCTCAACAAACATGATATCTTGCTAACCATACAAAACAAGCTTCACCAATGAACGATTTTGTTGGTCATGGTTTTGGTTAAGGAATTACCAACAAATTTAATGTATTATTGTTATTATTATTGATTGTTTCTTTATTTCACATCTTCCTCATCTAGTTGCCTCCCTACTTTCCCTCCTCGTCTAAGATTTCTTTCCTACTTCTCTTGGTTTTTCTGTCCTTTATATTCCCATTTCTTATGTTCAATTTTCTTGTGTTTCTCGACACATAATCCGCATTTCCTTACTTTTTCTTCTTTCCATCGTTCATCCTTTCTCTTCATTTCTACACCGGAACCTCGTCTAGCTACATGTTTCCCTTAAATCTTTGGAATATCCGGAATTAATTCTATATTTTTTGTTTCTACGTTTCTTCTTTTTTTCGTTATTTCTTAGTCCTTACTTTCCCCTCTTTCTCTCTTCTATACCTCTACTGATCGATTTTTTTTCCTGGGTAACTTTTTTTTGTTCCCTCCGTTTCCTATTTGTGTTCTTATTTGTCGACAGGCATTCCTTGATCAGTTTTCTTTTTTCTTTCCCTTCTCCTATCACTTCGCTTTGTGCCCTATCTCTATTTATAAGGTCTCCATTTTTATCTTTTCTTCCACTAAACAATTTGGTGTTCCTTTGTTTAGGCCCAATACAATTGTAGTAATCTTTTTATCGCCATTTCTTTTTTCCGTAATTTCCGTATTTGTGCGTTTTCACCATTATTTTTTGCACGTTTGTTGCTCAGCTTTTTCTATCCTCTTGTGCTTCTCACTTCCATTCTACCTTCTTTCCCCTCCCCATTCCTCATATCTTCGATGCTTTCACATATAGTATCACTCTTTCCCAGTCTCTATCTATTCTTAACGTCATATCCTTTACTTGCACCCAGGGAACGCATCTTCTTTCTTCCTATTACGATTTCTCCACTTTGGCTTTGTGTTAATATTTTCTCTATGTTGGGCCGAGTGCGTAAGTTCTGTCCAAAACACCTTTGACTCCTCTCCTTCTACTCCTCCCCACTTACTGTCCCTTCGTATAACTCCTTTACTTTGTTTTGTTTCTAATCTTTTCTTTCTTTATTTTTATACCTTTCCTTTTACTACCCTGAAACCTTCATTTTCATGTCTACTTTCTACTTTCTACAGGAAATTTTAGTTTCCATGACAGATCAGACTACATTTCCTGCCACTTGTCACTTTACCGGACGCATCTGTGACATTGCTAAACGTCTATAATGACTCCTGTCATTACTGACAGATTGACATTAATCAAAAGTTCTATATAAACATTGAAATTTTATAATAAAATACGATTTCGAGTAAAATTTAATACAAAACTCGTCAGTAAAATGACATTACTTGACTCGGAAATGAAAGTACTCGGCCCCTTGCACTTCAATATTTTCTCGCCAGTAATGTGTCATTTTCCGGACTTTTATGTAAATAACTATTGTTATACATCAGGCAATTTTTTAACACGGACAAACGAGCGAAAATCCCATTTCATTTACTCCTGTACTTACCGAAGAAAGTCGGATGGCTTTAGAGATTTTTTCTAAACATCAAATAACTTTATAATTGGATGGAATTTATTAATGAAATTAGAAACGTGTTCGCGAAATTGTATAGCAATTGTCGCGCTTCAAGAAATACGGTGAAGCGGTCGTGTTCATTTTACTGATGAATCCAAATCTTTGTAAAAGTTTCACGAACACCTCAATTTGCGTAATAGGTGTACACTCGTTTTCGTTTTTTCTATACGTTATCTACTTCCGACCTTTTGATTCGATAGTTATATGAAGCGTAGTTTGTGAGGAAGGACGTCTCTTATTTTATTATTATTATACTAAGAATGAAAGAGGCCCAGGAAGTGTCCGTGGCGAAGCGCCTCCAAATGTAGGTCTCACGGTCGTGATGAGGGGGTGGGTTTTCTAAATTATGAAGCGAACGCAACGTATTATTAACTTTTAGAAAGATTTTTACAATGGCGTTAGACAAGTATTGTGAAACATTTAACTTTGTACTTAAAAGAATTTTTCTACTTTTACAACAACATCAATTCAATAATCTGCTAGTTTGTGGTGGAAACGTTCAACGATGTTCGGCAAATCAAAAGGTATTATTCATGCGGTTAAATTGTTATTCGAATCGATATTCGAGCACAAATAGAACAATCTTAGTAGTAAATATAGCGTTGCACTAATAATTAAGGGTTGCTCTCTTTCTCCTTTCGTCTTCTATAAATAACCTTCCTTTTGCATGCACTCTTTCCAACGTTTCTTCCCCGAATGTATTTTATTAGAAAAAACATTTACTAACAGTACTTTCTATTATACAGAGACGGCGAGAAAACTTTACTTATCACAAAGGCTAGATCAGCGGAGCAGTACGGATGGAGGTAAAAATAAATGTTTTGTGTTGCAAGAAAGCGAAATCATTATCGTTAAGAATTCAACGTGTTGAGCCTTTGAAATGTCAATAAATGTGTAATTAGCGATTACAATCATTTTTAAAAACGTATTTTTTACGTTTCACAGGCCAACTAGTAGCAATGTTGTGTTTTTGCTGTTTTGTTTAGTAGAGTGTGTGTTTTTCAATTGAAATATTTTAATGTGGCTTTTCTGTAAAAGCTTTGTTGAAACCTTTGATGTCACTGCAGAGCATTCGTAATGTCCCTTACCACATAACCAGATTTTTTGATCTCTCAAGTGCCTAGTAAAATGTAGGCACAGCGATAAGAACTCGTGTGCTAATTAAATTTCGTCCGATAAAAACTCCTTATCGCAAACGACCACCTGTCCCTACAATTTAACACACAATTTCACACTTTACAATTAAATACACAACTTAAATTACATTATCCTCCACCATCATTTATCGATGAGTCAAGTAGGTACAACTCTTGCCTTACAAATGCTTTTGAACTAAGTATTTAGGAAAACTTAATAGTCCAGTCAAATTAGCGCAATTTTGGACAAATAAAAACATTAATTCGGTAAAGATCTGAATTTTGGTATACACATTTATTGGGACTTTCTATTGAACATACTAAAAGTCCCTGTCAAAATCTGTTGCGCTCGAGACGCCATCTTGGAAAAACGGTACACTTTTCCAGTTTTTTGCCCATGTCTCGGCAACTATTACTGATACGAAGAAATAGTTTACATGAAAAATATAGTTTACTAAATTCCCTATAAAAAAGAGTATTTACATTTTTTTGTATCTCCCATACTTTAGCTGTAATCTCACGTTGAATGCGTCAGAAAGCGTTTAGGCCCCGCATCGTAGTTATAGGAAGGAGGCCGTCTTTTTTATGGCTACACCGAAAGCTGTAAAAGCACCAAAAAATGAACAGAATCGTCTTGCGATAAAGCATTCTAGCAATGACATAATGTTTCATGATACGACATCATGTTTTTTTTCAAAAAGGTAAGCGAAAATGATTAAAATTGTTGGGGCCACGAAATGATTTCTGAAGCTGGAGAACGCCGTTCTCTGCATACAACGTGCCTGCTAGTGAGAGATATTTAAACCGACATCGTTATCAGACCTGCAGAAAATACGCATACAAGGGTCAGCCGAATCTAACCGCACTGTTACCCCCTACGGCTGCAGCGGCGCAGCAACACACGTTTCGTATTAATCAGCAAGTTCAGAAGGTTTGTGGATATGAAAAATCTCCCGAACTGTGGAGTTGAAGGAGAGTCCACGATTTCCTTGACCCTGTTCGGTCACTGAAGGCTTCCAGTCCACACTCAGTGCTTAACTGCTCACATTGAAGATGAAAGTTCTATTGAGAGAGAGAGAGAGAGAGTTTTATGAGAAACCTTTAAACGTGTCTCATACCAAGCTTGAGTGCGACGACTTCTCATATATAAGAAATACTGGCACAATTTTCAATAAATTTAATGATTTGTAAAAAGTTGTAAAAAAATATCTGCGCGCCTGTTTCGAGAGCTCAGGATACTTGATTCCCTATTCGATGTCGGATTATAGCTAAAGTATTGGACATACAAAAAAATGTTAATGTGCTTTTTTATGGGCAATTTAATAAACTATATTTTTTATCTGAGCTATTTTTCCGTGTCAATAATTGTTGCCGATATATAGGCAAGAAACTGAACAAGTGCTCCTTTTTTCCAAGATGGTGCCTCGAGCGCAACAGATTTTGACGGGGACTTTTAGTATGTCCAATGGGGAACACTAATGAACATGTTTACCAAAATTCAGATCTTTACCAATTAATGTTTTTATTTTTTCTTATTTGACTGGACTATAACTACATACCGGCTTTATGGCTCAGTGGTAGAGCGTTGGGTTATAAATCCTGAGGTTGGGTGTTCGAACCTGGGTTGAGGTGAATTTTTCATCTGTGGCGGAGATGGAAATTACCTTAGACCAGTTCCGAGCATTTTACCGGCTTCTCCGAATTAGGTTTTCCTGCAGTTGGGTCTAGGACAACTCGCCGTCGCCGACTGGCCGTTGGCGATTCGCCGTCGCCGACTGGCCGTCGAACAAACTCGCCGTCGGGCAAACTCGCCGTCGGTCAAGTCGCCGTCAGGAGAATAAATAAAAAAATACTACTAAATGTTTGTAAGTGCTATCAGTTTGTTCTTATCAAACAAAACACTCTAAAATTACAAAAATATTTTTGGTTATACATTATACATTTATATTTCATAATTATGGGCTAACCCCCTAAGATATTCCGAAATATCACTATCAATCAATCAATCCGTGTATTTTACGACGGGTACAGGTAAAGGATTAGTCTGTTAGCATTAGAAGAAAGAAAGGATAACATACTTCGGTGTCCAAGCACGAAAACCGAAGTGCAATTATAATTTACAACTGTTGTGAATTCTTAAAAGGGTGTAGGCGGTTATTAATTTTCAAGGAAGGTCTTTTTCACAACGGTTTAGGTACAATTTTTCTTGCTATTTTGCATACGATAAAAGGATTTAGATCGTTTTGGGGGACTCTTAGATCTGGATCAAATCATGATTTTTAAATGTATCTGGATCTCTATCTAGATCCAGAATTAAAGGTTACACAACACTGCAAATAACTACAGCATTCCAATGATGAAACGAGATTGCTAAATAATATTATATGACTAAACTGATTGCAGTTATAGACATCTAAGTGTTAGATTTAAATATTTTAAAAAAAATCTTTATTTTGTTTCCGGTGACGGCGAGTTAACCGACGGCAAGTTGACCGATGGCGAGATTGCCCGACGGCGAGTTGCCAACGGCCAGTCGGCCACGGCGACTCGGCGACGGCGACTTGTCCCTGCCCGATCTTCCACTGACAACCATACCTCTTCGCCAAAATTAACAATATTGTTATTGTACCAAAAGTGTACTTTACTTATAATTACACAATTGGAAGAAAAGCTGTTTAGTATATATCGGAAACTAGGAGTTCATGTAAATTCATTTTTGATTTTTGGAAGTACACATTGCGTAACATAACTTTACCACCCTATGTCGTTTGTCTTACAAGTATTAATAAGTCAATATAAACAAAAGAGCAAAAGGTTCTACAGCATAAATCATTAAGGTTAACAACTCGATGCTTCTTTTTATGCTGGACGTATTTTTAATTAAGAAACTCCTATTGATTTCTCTATGCTTAATTGGAAACCTGTTCCTTTCATTTTCTCGAATGTAATTTTATGTTATAATCTCTTTCAGTGCAAACGTGATTCTATTTCAGATGATAATGATACTGTTTCGTTGAACTTTGTTAAATTCTAAACACAACGATGTAGTTTCTTTGATTGCTTTTAGTTTTAGACTTGAAATGAGCAGACGTTAACTACGGCATTATTTAAATTATATTCCCCATTAAAAATTGATGGATTTGTTGAAATCTAGACCTCTAGAAGGACAAAATTGGGTTCGGTTCAGAATTAAAAAGCCTGTACCTTTCTCTGTCTGAATTGCTACTGAATAATACTGAAAGTGATCACATATTTTAATTGTCGCATAATTAGAACCTCAACGTTATGCTGAAGCAACGACTTGTAACTTGCATGAAAACTGATTAAGCTTGGACTGCTTCATAAGGCACAGCGATTTTTTTTAGTTAAATTGACCTTCGCACCTCCGCCTGAATCTATTATCTATAAGGGTAAGGTATCCCCCTCCCCCCCTCCCTCTCTTGCCGGAGCTTATAGGGCGAGCGATACCATTGCTTAATATCTACACAAATGTTAATTTAATATAATTTAATCTTTGCACAGTTGACATAAACGCCTATCTACATTCAACCATTCAACGTGCGTTTTTACTTACTGTGTTAGATCATGTCATAGATGGAGTTTCGAATCGCTGCCTGTGTGAAACCATCAACATCGCTAACAGGTTTCCTGTATTGCCTTGTTTTTTTACGGCTTTCTAGTTTTGTCCGATTTAGAAATTTTTTGGGACGAACGTTACATCAGCACTCTCCTATGCTACGGGATAATTTCGTTGATTCGTTTTCAATCATCCAGTTATTTAATGCGCCCGCACTTGGTAACGTAATATCCAGAATGGAGTCTCTCATTTTCCGTGTTGGCGATTAACGCTGTTAGTGCCACTCTACGTGTCCATTCTTTGTACATATCGGGGCGCGTATTTTTTCCCGCATTCGGACACGAGTAGATCTACTCCTCCCTCTCCAGCCGTGTAGCATAAGAGGGTAAATGAAGCTCGCGAATGGTTTAAGTTGGCATGTATATCTTTTATCATCTTGGGCGTTGAGTAGTGGTTACATATTGATATTATTAAGCTCTGAATACAGCAAAATAATAGTTTATATAAAAGAAAGATAGTAGTTTCTGATATTCCATAGTTTTATAGCCAAAAATGATACAACAAATGTAAATGTAAAGCTCTACATTACAAATTTAATGCATAAAAACGAAATGGCGTTTACGTTTTCAGGGAAATGGTTACGATCTTTTCCGGTATTCTGGAGATGTTCTCGTGCAATAATAAAACCGAAAATCTGCATTTAATACGACATCATACTTGAATGTTTGGCTGTTACATTTGCAAAAATTTAAAAAGGAAACGTGCGTTGTCAAAAATAAAATATCTACTGTGTTATTACCTTCCTTTTAAAGTAAGGAAATTTATTTACTTCGATTCACACGATGTTACTAAAATAGCCTTTTTTTTGCATTGTTAGAGTCTGGGATTGTAAGTGCGACGTAAAACATTTTTTTCCCGTATAATTGGTTTTTAGCGAGCAGGTGAGGTGAGACACGTGCAGCGAAAAGCGAATCGTTTCAGTTCTGAACTCTATGAGGCGTTACCTTTTTTACAAAATAATGGGGCAATAAAAATGAAATGAGAAAATAGTAAATAGACCAAAACAAAAATTAACCCATTAGAATAGTTACAC